GTAGGCCGCCGCGGCGGCGGCGGCGGCAGCGGCGGCGGCGGCGGCGGCGGCCGAGTTCCCATAGCCATAGGCGGGGAAGCTGTTGTAGGAGTAGGCGCCCGCACCCACGCTGTAGGGCGCGCCATAGGCTTGCGCGCCCGGCGTGACGCACGGCTTGCCGTCCCGCACCAGCACAGGCACTGCCACGCGGCGCGGTGGCGGCGGGGGTGCGTGCGCGCCCAGCTCCAGAGACTTGTCCTGCCGCTGTCTCTTGCACTTGTACCTGCGGTTCTGGAACCAGATCTTCACCTGCGTGGACGTGAGCTTCAAGCTGCTGGCGAGGTGCTCGCGCTCGGGCGCCGACAAGTACCTCTGCTGCTTGAACCTGCGTTCCAGCTCGAAGACCTGGGCTTGCGAGAAGAGGACCCGGGGCTTCCGGCGGCTGCGTGGCTTGGGTCTCTCGCTCTCCTCCGCCGCCTTACAATCCCCGGCCGCCTCCAGAGGCTTCTTCAGCTGGCAGCTTTCTGCGGAAGAAGCAAAACAAGAGCGTCCCTTAGCAGTTCCCAGCCTAACCGCGGTTCCTATCCCAGCACACTGTGGCCCTTTGGGCGGCAGCGCGGAGCATGCGGTAGTAAATGCCTGGACTTTCTGGAAAGTTTCTGGCTGCTGGCGCCATGGGACCCCGCGACATCCCAAGCACCCTCAGAACGCCCTTAGAGGGTGGAGGCACGTTCCATGGGGAGGGGTAGTTCGCCTTTATTTAGAATTTGAGCATCAGCGAGGAAGAGATTACTCTGTATTAAACATGCGGCTCGGCGTGCTAATGACTGTTTTCAGGATGAAAGCTTGCAACTATATCATAACTATAGAGTATTTGCAAGCTTGTTAGACTTCCACTATGTTAAGGATAGTCAAAGGTGTGAAGCATGTTGGTATTTGGGGGCTGGTGTGAGTTGCGTGAAAAATCTTTCTGTTAGAAAATGCTTGAGTGTAACGCTCCTGTATTGCCTAGGAACTTTTTTTTTTTTTTTGCTTTTAAAAGACAACATGCCCCCGGCTAAATGCGTGACGATGAGTGTGTTACCTTTGAGAGAAAAAAAGAAATTTGATTAACTGATTTAGACCGTATTATGTGGATTTTAGGCCCAGGGGAACTGTCAGGAGTATAGGCCTTGGCTGCTGCCACATCAGACCTCCTCTTGGGAAAGACGTTCTTTGATTCTCTCCCCTCAGAAGCAAACACTTCCTTGGAAGCTATATTCAGTTATCCTGTCTTCCCTACCCAATTCACCTCCCATCCGATGTGAGCAGCTGGGATCTAGGACTACGTTCGGCGCGTTTTTCACTCAGCCTGCAGCCCCACAGGCTGGGACACAAAGCATAACATTATGAATTTTCAAAAAGCTCTCCCGTGTGAACATACTGCACACGGGAATGGACTGGGTTCCCACGCACTCGCCCGGACTGTCCCTTCCCTCTCTGCCCGGTGCCTTGGGGTCCAGGACACTGAACTCCAAGCAGAGAAGTGAGGAAATCACTTGGCTGGTCTCTACCAAAGTTCCTGCGCCCTGCCAACACAACCTGCTTGGATCATCTTTTTTGGAGAAGAGGGGACCTCTGTCCCGGCCTCAAAGAACTCGTCTCATGCTAGGGGGAAAAGAGGAAGAGGCTCAAGCTGTCTCTCTAGCTGCCGGATCCTGACTACTGTACCCGTGTTGCTTATCGGCCTCAGGGCAGCAATTACTTTCCCTTCCTTCCCTTGGGGGCTTGCATCGCCTCTCCTCTCCGGGAGGCGGGAGGCGTAGTTGTCGGGGTCACCTCGTCCTTCTCCCTCTGACCCGGCTCGCTCGCAGGCACCTGCGCTTTGCGGAGCTGTCGTTGACCAGGGCGAGGCATGACCCCAGCCAAAGGTTAAAGGGGCGGGAAGCACTGCTGACCAGGTTTGTGGGCTGTTTGCGGGCGCTCCGCCATTGCTCCAGATGTGCGGGGGCTTTTCTTTCCCCCTCTACTCACTTTGGCTCCGGTCCCTCACGACCTCGGGCTCCTCTTCATGTTCCTTAGGCCCGCTACACGAGTCTCGCAGGACTGTGTGGACGTAGCTCTGGGGACAGAGCCCCGAGCCCCCGTGGCCATCGGCTGTGGCTAGTGAGTTCAAATAGGACAGTTTGTCGCCCTCTTCTTCCTCGTCTTCTTCCCCTCCGTCAGAAAATTGAGTCCCCTCGGTGGCGGCCAGCATGCACGGTGCGGAGTGGAAGTGGTGCTCCAAGTCCGCCTGCAAGTGCGCGCCGTGGAAGTGCTGTTGCTGCTGCTGCTCCAGATTCAAAATGTCTTTGACTGAGAAAGGGGTGGAGGTGACCGGGCTTGGTAACATCATCAGGGCCACTTAATTGTCCAGTCCAAATACTCAATAAATCCCGGCGGGGGCGGGGAAGTAGTGCAGCGGCTCCAGCTCTCCTTCTGGACTCTGCCGCTGCTGCCGAGTCGGGTTTTTGACAGACGCGGTCCCGCTCCAGTCTAAATCGCCTCCATTGGCCCGGACCTGGGGGTCTGGGTTTTGTTACAGCCACTGCAGGGACTGGAGCCGGGGCTGCGAAGCCTGTGTCCGGGGGTCGTGCGTCACGTCGGGGGCGGGGCCCTCGCCTCGGCCTCCCTCCGCATTGGCTCCGGCTCATGTGGACCACGCCCCCCGCATCCACTGTGTGGGGTGCTGTGGCGCTACCAGAAATAAAGGACTAGTATAGAGTCGTGAAGTCCAAGTCGTTGTGGGTAAGGCTGCAATGCCCCGGGTGCCCGAACTACCGATTCCCGCCCCGCCTGGCTGTACCTTCCCGGCCGGGGCCAGTTCTGGGAGGCTTCCTGTCCATGAGCCAACTGCCAGGAAGAATGGCCCAGGAGCGTGGCTTTTCCCAGCTGCTATGGGGCAAGAAAACTTCCTGGCCCATAAATACCGGCCACAGGATTCCCAAGAAGACGGATTGTTTTGTATATCTATGGATGGACAACGTGTCTGTTCCCGACTTGTTGACTTTGCTTAAGCTGTTCCCTCCACTTGGAACGTCTTCCTTGCCCTTGTTTCCATGAATGGAAAGCTGTTCTCCAAGGCTCTGCTCAAATACTATCTCTCCGAGGAAGCGCTCCCTGATCGCCTAGCCGGAAGTCATCCCTCCCGCATCTGAACTCGCAGCGCGTGTTAGTAAAGGACGTTCGTGTCACTTATCACCTCTCACCCAGTAGTATATATTGCCGGCCTGGTGGCCCTGGGTAAACTATGAGCCCCCGAAGGAAAGGTCTCCGTTGTATTTGCCCTTGTAGCCCTTGCAGCTGCCGCGCGAAGCAGGTATGTGAGAGACAGGAGGATGGAGTTGTTAGTAAACTTGGTTGTCTGACCGCTCTTGGTTCCAATCCTGACGTAGTCAGTGGCCTTGGGCGTTTCTAAGCCTCAGTGTCTGCCTACAAAGAGGAGGTAGTAATACTTATTCAGAGGTTGTTGCCAGGGATAAAAGACAAAACATGCCAGGAGTTTAGTGCAGGGCCCCACACATATTAAGTGCTCGGTACACCTCAACTACCACTATTCTGCATCAGAGATCAAGCAGTGTTTGTTGACTGCATTGGTGATGGCGTGGCTGGATTGCTGCACACACTGGGTGGCTTCTTACGATCTTGAGAGCAGTATCTGTGACCCAGCCATGGAGGCCTTCTTTTCTGCATATTCAAACCGGGAACTTGGATCTAGGCCCTTACCCTCGGAGGCGGCTTTCTAATTTCTCCAACCCATACGCCTTCTGGCGCCCTCGTGTGGCCCTGGTTGTTTTCTGGGCGAATCTGTGGGGTCCCCTGAAGGTCTGGAAACTCCGCGCCGGTGGGGATCATCTTCTGCACAATAGGCGCTCCCCAGCCACCACGCCTCGCCCAGTGAGGAGCAGCGGGAGCTACTGTGAGGCCCACAGAAAGACCTGGCTCAGCACTGGCCTTGGAAAAAACAGAGACCGGTTCCAGCCCAACCGAGGCGCCCCATATCCGGCCCTGGCCGCCCCAAGCATTTTTTTTTTTTTTTTCTCCGCTAAGATGGTGGGAGACCGGTCTCAGCTGGAAGGGGCGGGTGGAAGGTTCAGGGACTGTGGACAACGCCCCCGGGCGCGGCACACACGGCTAGAGTTGGGGCGAGCCGTGGAGAGGTGTCCTGCGGGTCCCGCTGCGTTGGGAGTTGTGGGTGCCCAAGGCCAAGAAGAGAAAGGCGGGAGGGGAGAGAGGCGGGGCTGTTCGGCAGCCAGCGGAAATGGTGCGGGGAGTCAGCCCCTGGGGCCGCCCGGAGAGCTGGGATGCGGCGCGGGCCACGTGCACCCGGGAGTACTTAGGGTGGCGGCGGCCCGCGGGTCGTGGGGGAGACCCTCTGTGGGAAGAGCCTTGCCGGTGCCTCTCTTCTCAGAATTGAGACTATTGACGTCCCAGGCGGGGCCGGCTTCTCCAAACCAGGCCAGGGGCTGCAGGGAGAAGAATGCACCTGGTATTGCTGCGGATCGCAACCGCTCGGGCGCAAAGATCAAGAGAGAGAGGTGGGGGTGAGTGCGCGGCACTGTGGGGTGGGGGTCCTTGAGGGTGTGCGTCGCGTTGGCAGTCAAGCCTAAAAGAAGGAAGCTGCGCTCCAGCCCCACTCCTCCACTCCCATTCCCCGGAGCTAGACCATCTCCGACATTTCTGGTTCCCAAATTTTTCCGCCTCTTTGAGCGTTGGTTTTGTTTTGTTTGAGTGATTTTGAGTCAGGAAAAGAAAGAAAGAGAAAGAAAGAAAGAAAGAAAGAAAGAAAGAAAGAAAGAAAGAAAGAAAGAAAGAAAGAAAAAGGAAGCTACCCGTTGCATTTCTCCTTCCTACCTTCTCTTGCTTCTCTGCAGCACTTCGTTCTTAAGCCTTCCCTAAGTCCATTCCTAAGAACCCCCATCTTAGAACCCATGGCCGGGGGGTGCTGGGAACAAGTCCATACGCCCGCTGCTGCTGCCCGGAGGCCACCTGGTTGCCCCCTCACTGAGCACGAAGAAGGCTGTCTCCTCCCCACTTGCAGGCCCACGCGGTCGGCTCTCCCCCAAAGCCACTGCCACCCCTCTCCGGCCAGGTGCCCTTGTGCTAGGCCTGAGTGGTTCTCTCCTGCAGCTTCTGACCGCTTTGTTCCTGTCCCGGCCGCCCAGGGACATAGTTCAGTTCTGCCCGGCTGGAGGTGGGTGAGGATCCAGAGCGTGGGCAGCCCAGGGGAAGGGGCCTAGCGAGTGGTTTCGGTGCCCTGTCCCCCCTTTCTCTTCTCCTCTCTAATCTGACTCAGGGCTTGATCTAGCTGGCAGGAGGAAGACTTCTACCCGCTACCTAGAGCTGGTTTTGGCCTTAAACCTCGGCTTGCGTTTAGGACGTTTCCAGTTCTGCTCTCCTGGTTGTCCAGGCTCCCTTTGGTCGGTCTGGTTCCCCTGCAGCTGAGCTACGTACCAGGGATCCCCACCAGGCCAATCCTGTCTAGGCAGCCTGGGTGACCGTGAGCGCGTGAGCCGGCCGCTTTGAGCTGGTGTCCTGGAAGAAAACGCCAGGGCAGTAGTTACACTAAGTTACATTACCGCAGCGGTGGGTTCTTGGGAGTTACTTATCAGAATGTGGAATCTGGGTCCAACGAGGGTGTTTAGTTACGATCGCATTCTGGGGCATTTGCGTTCTCTGGTCTGAAAAGAGGATCTTTGAAATCCTGGAGTTGTGCTCCAGTAGTAATAGGTTTTCATTCCAGTCAGTTTAGCTAATTACTGTCAGATAAAGTAAATATAGCTGCAACCAAGGACACATTTGATGTTGTTTTAATCGACTGTGTCTGCCTACTTACCCTCGGCTTTTGTCACATTACACATTTATGAAAATCTCCCTCCTCCCATATATGATCAAAGATCATAGTAAAATGATGGCAAATTCAATGAAGGGGAAGAGCTGTATAGACGCATAAACGATGTATAATATTATTCGTTTTCTGGAGAAAAGCCATATGCTAGCCATCACAATAAATATATTATCAAATTAAAATGTGATGATGCTTTGAAACTGTAAAGTGTTCCCATAAGTTACTATTCTCTACACAAAAATTGCTTAATTAATATACATAGAAATACAGGCAGATAACCAATCATTTTAATTATATATGCCACTGCTTATGTTATTTCCTTTCAGCTATTCAAATAACCATTTAATGTAACCACAGTCACAAAAAAGTTTAAAGTTATCACGGCTTTCTACTCTAAATGTAGCACCACAGTCAGAAGCTCTATTAAAGCATGAGAAACAATCCCATGATGTACACAGCTAGTCAAAACTATATAACATTTCAGGTAGGTTTTTTTAAATTTACTGTTTCGTTTTTTACTGCTTTCCCAGAAATTTCATTTTCCTTGACTTATGAACGAAAGAAGGAAAGAAAGAAAGAAAGAAAGAAAGAAAGAAAGAAAGAAAGAAAAAGAAGAAAGGCATTTCTTCTTTTCCTGTAGCACTAAATATATTCCTGTTATTTTGTTTTCGTTGTTGATGGTGGCATGTAAGTATGTGTTTTGGTTTGATTTTTAGCTGAAGGATGTTAGAAAGCTATCCTTTTCTTTCTTTCTTTTTTTGAGCAATCTAGAGGCACTCGTGTTTTGTGAGAAGAGTAAATACTTTTTCCACTTTTAAAGAAATGCCACCTACATAGGTGAGTCCCAGAAAGCATTAAACTGATCTAATCCCTTGAGAGGAATTTCCCCCAAGTTTCTGTAATTTTGTAAGATTTTAAAATGGAGTTTTGAGCATTTTAGTTTTTTTTTTTTTTTTCTCATGTGTTTGTATAAATGCCAGATTTCCCCAGATTGTGTTTGGAATGGAGTTTTCCAAGCAACCCACCGCTTCCCTTCCCTGGGAGAAAATCAGTCCAAGTTCAATAATCCAAGTAGTTCTTCGTAAATTGCCGGCCCTTACTGAGGATGTGAGTTTCGATTTCTCCGGGAGAGGACCTTCCACATCTATCTTATGTGTATCTGCCCCACTCCAAAAAGTTTTTAAATAATGTAAATACAATGTAAATACAGCTTTTGTCAACAATAGTGGTTCTGTTCTGCTGATAAAACACAAGGAAAAAAGCCAACTTTGTTGAATGAAAATTCAATATTTTAAAAAACAAAATACCTACATAAAGGGTGCCTATACAGACATTTATTTATGCTATTTGCGTGTGCTATTTGGAAGTGCAGTGAGCAATTTTAACTTGGGGATTAAATTGGAATTCTGGAGGCATTCCTCACGTTTTATTATTTGTGAGAGAGAGAGAGAGAGAGAGAGAGAGTGTGTGTGTGTGAGTTTAGCTTCCTTTAGCGAAATTGCAATGTCTATAGACCTTTTAAAATATAATCTAACTTCAGAAGAGCGGCTGCAGTCTTTGGCAGATTAATTCTGTTAAACCAGAGCGCCTGCCTGCTCGTGCGGATCTCTGAGCACTGAGTGTGGAAGGGCTGGGGGGGGGGGGTGGAATGTGGTTATCACGTTCCAAGAAGCAGAGGTTCTTCCTAACTCTTTCTAGCGCGATCTTTCCAACCCTATCTGCTCTCAACCACAAGCCACGGGACTCCGGCTTCCTAGAACGTAGAAATCTTTTCCCAAGTCTCACTGGGGGTCACGTTGAAGCGAATAACTTCAAACCGTTTGAGAACGAAAAAGACGTTTTTCTTTTGGAAAGAAAAGTTTGCCACAGTCTTGTCGCTTCAGTAGCGTCTTATCCTGCCCTCGCCGCGTCCAGCCTGGCGTTCCTGGTCTTTGGTCCGCACGGGGAGAGCAATGGCCAAGATCCAGGGGGAACCTTTGCTCCGTCAGTGGGCATCCGGGTCTGCTGGCCTAGCCGCCCACCTGCCCTTGGTTTCCTGAAGCTCTGGGGGTACCCACCAATTCCCACTACTCTGGCGACAGTCTCAGCTTGTCTGACTCTGCAGGGATGTTGGGGGTTGGGCAGCTGGCCTTGCTCGGAACGGATCAAGGACCCGACCTGGAAAGGACCGAGGTGCGCGAGGGCGTACAGCCACATGGACGGAAGGCTTGACTCGCCTGAGGAGCCAGGCCCAAGTCCACATCTCTGGGTCTCTGGGTTTCGCAGTCTCGCCCTTAGAGACGCCGGTGTGTCAGGTCGGAGGTCAAGATTTGGGCGGCACCGAGGCTGCGGGGAATGTAAGGCTGCCAGGCCTGACTCCGCCTTGCCAGCGCGGGCGCCACGTCGCCAAGTGGGCGCACTGTGTCCGCGCCGGACGGGGCCGGGAGTGCTGGGCTCTGTCCCTGGCGCGCTGCTCCCCAGCCGCCGGCCAAGAGCCCGGACCGAGCAGGTCCGCGGGAGACATACGCTGGGCCTCCGTCCTTGAACTTGCCAAAGGTTCTGGAATTCCTCTCAAGCTCTCAGCACTCCCGCCAATGGGAGAGAATTACCTTCTTACCTCTCTTGGCTCCCGGCATCCAGTCTTGGCAGAGCCTCCGAGTCTGGGACCCCAGAACTTCCCTGGCAGCCTCTTACCCCTTGCAGCCACTCCTTTCCCCTTTCTCCTCCTTCCTCTTGCACTGGGCCCATCTACATCTCCACCCCTTCCTTTCCTCACTCCCCCTTTCTCCCTCACCTCCTCCTGTCATGGGCCTCCTTTCTCACTGGGTCTCCACTCCTCCCTACCTGTTCCATTCTTCCTTATTTTTTCACTCTCTCTTCCTTTCCCCCTTATCTTATCTCACCACACCCTGGCCCCCCTCTCCACTCAGAAGCTCTCCTGCATTTTTGTCCTGGCCCCTGCAGGTGTTTGATGCTGCATAGGGCGGAGTTAAACCAGTGGATCACGGCCTCACTTCTGAGTCCCGGACCGTCTCCCCCATTCTATCCTGTACTACTCTTATCTCAGGAGCTGCTCCTAATGATGCCCAAGCACTTTGGAGTTTGTGATAGGGACACTACTCTGCACCCTGCTTCAGCTTGTAGGACCTCTCCCACCCCCCAGTCCCCCAGCCCCCAGCAATCTCTGCTGAGGGCCCTGGTGGGTGTGTGGGGCTCCAGGTGGCAGGCTTGGCCACCCTCCCTGTGGAAATCCCCGCTCCAGGCAGATCCTGCGGAGCCTCCGTTTCCTACTATTGTGGCAGTCTGGAGAGGATCACAGCAGAGCTGAAGGCGACCATAAGGCCTGGGCCCCAGGCATCCCTTGAGAGCACAGATGGGGGCTCCCAGATCAGGACTACCCCCTCCCCCACCCCACATGAGCAAGATCCAGCTGAACTGATCTTTCTTTCTGTTTCTTTCCTGCCAGCCCCACTTTAGATTAGGGGCCTTGAGATCACCCCAGCTGGGAAGTGTTTCAGGGACTGCCTTAAAATGCAGGGGCCAAATCTGGGAGAAGAGAGTAGGATCCTGGCTCAACCTAGCCAGCAGTTGCAAGGACTGAGCATTCTGTAGCTGTTCTAGGCCCACCTATACTCTCTTACCCTCCCCCAGCTACTGGGTACGGGGCCAGTGGGGCCACTGAGTCACTGGCCTCCAGAGAGGTGACGGGGTCTGGGG